CAAATAAATAACTATGGAATTATTTTAGAAGGAAAATGCTTTATTATTTTTAAAATTAGATGAAAAATTATTTATTATTTTTAAAATTAGAAAGAATTTTTTTATTTTTAAATTAGAGGAAAATTTTTAATTATTCTTAAAATTAGAAGGAAACTTCTAATTTCTTTTTTAAATTAGAAGAAAATTTCTAATTTATTCTTAAAATTAGAAGGAAAATTCTAATTTATTTTTAAAATTAAAAGAAAATTATTTATTAATTTTAAAATTAGACGGAATTTTTTAAATTAAATCTAACCCTGTTTTTCACATGTAAAAAAAAATAAAACATAAATCTAACAATTATATTCCAATAATATATTTAGAGTTGATTTAAAAATAATGAAAGAAATATTTAATAAAAATGTGAATTTTAATAAAAATTAAATTTAGCCAAAATTTAGAGGGGACAAAATTAGGATTGAATTGAACAAAATTAAAAAAAAAATAGAACTAAATTGATAAAAATGAATAAAAATTAGGACTAATTTGAATATAAGATACTGACATTAATGATATTGATATTGCACTGTGATAATAACAATGTCATGTGACACAATGTTAATTTGACACATAAAAACTTTTTTTTAAAATTAAAAATAAAATAAAAGAATAATACAAACTTTTAAAGAAATTTAAAAATTAAGAAAATCACAAACTCTATTAATCCTTTAACAGTTTAGATATACCATGAAAAATGGTTAAATTGAATACAATTTATCAAAATAAAACCAACATTAAAAAAAATCTCATATTTAAAAAAAATCAATGAAAATAAATCAATATTTAAGCCATAAATAAAAAATAACATGTCTCACGTAATTGTCTTAAAAATATTATATCATTATTGAATAAATCTTATCAATTTTTAATTATTAATAGGTTTAAACCCTCCATTGGTCCTCATTTTTGTATCGAAATTTCAGTTCGGTCCTCATTTTTTTCATATGTCTCAATTGGGTCATATTTTTTGTAAAAATGAACACATTTTATCCTAACTGTTTCTCAGACGACGTTAAATTAAGGTCACGTGGTGCGGAGAGAATGTGCTTATGTGTGTTTGTGTAGGGAGTGTTTTGACTGTGCATTTGTGCATAGAGTGTTTTGATTATAATCATTAGATATATAATTTTATTATTTTGAAAAGTTAAAAATATAATATATATGTTGAATTTATTTAAATTTAAAAATAAAACAATTTTAAAAAAATAATTAAAATAAGTTATCTTTTATAAGTCTAAAAATTATTTATATTTGGATAGAATTGTAAAAATACATATTTTTAAATTTTCTTTGTGTTTAAATATTTTTATGAATTTATTTTGACAAAAAATTTAAAAAATTATATATAAGACTTATTTTTAGTTATGAAATCTAAAATATAATAAACATTTTTTAGTTTAAAAAGAAATGTTTTCTCTCAAATAGTTATAAAAAAATATTAAATAAGTTATTGTTTTTATATAATAATTTGATATAATATAAACAATTTTGTATATTAATATTCAATTAAAATACCCATAATTTTATAAAAACTTTAAAATTAAAAAAACTAAATTTAAAATAATTTAGTTTAAAATAATGATTAATGAATATGATTAAATTGAATTATTGATTAAATTAATATATTTTTTAATATTATTAAAATAAAATAATCAACCTATAAAAAAAAATCATAAATTAACGATAGAATTTTAAGACTTTATAAATATTTAATCATATAAACTTTTTAATAAAATTACTTTTACTTCTATTAAGTTTTTTTATCCCAACATGATTTAGGATTAAGTTCTATAAAATGAAATAATTTAATAATATTATATTAAAAATATTAAAGTAAATCTTTAATATATAAGATGTGATGTTTTGTTTTATAATAAAATAATATTATTATAGTTAATTGCAATATTTTATATATTTTTTATTTATATAAATTTATTTTTAAAGGGAAGCTCAGAAAATTAAAAAGAAAACATATACTTAAAAAGTTTGTTTAATTAATGTACAATAGTTAATTATTTATCTATATTATTTTTGTATGAATTTTATTAATAAATATATATTATTTTTAAATTTAAATAAATTCAACATATATATTATATTTTTAACTTTTATAAGTAATAAAATTATATATCTAATGATTACAATCAAAACACTCTCTACACAAATAATGCACAATCAAAACACTCTATGCACAAACACACGCTACTACATTTTCTCTACACCACGTGGCCTTAATTTAACAGTTAATAGTTAAGGTAAAATGTGTTCATTTTTACAAAAAATATGACCCGATTGAAACAGATGAAAAAATGAGAACTGTTGAGATTTTCATACAAACATGAGGATCAAAAGAGAGTTTAAACCTTTTTAATAATAAGAATCGAATGAGAAACCAAGTTGCCCAAAGGAAATTTAGTATTTGAATAAACACCTCCAATTAAAAAAAATAGTCTATTTTCACGTTTTCTTATCATAGTTTTTAAAATTTAGTACCAAACATTCTAATTAAAGAATCAACATAAAAAATATCAAATACGAACTTTCATGTAATAAGACATTCTTCAAATTTTGACAAAAAAAAAAAAAGGGAGTTCAAAAAGAAAATCTAAATCCTTAAACCCTAATTCCCTGCACAAAACCCTCGTTGGTTCTAACTTGGAAACGAACCACACAGACACACCCACTCTATCTATCTCTTTTTCTGCTGCTATGCATACAAAGCTGTTAACCCAAATTCGTCTTCTTCATCCCCTTCTTCCCATGAAGCCTCGCACTCTTCCTCTTCTCTCGCGTGCCTTCTTCTTCCCTCCCTCCAAGTTTCTCCGAAGCGCACCTTTTAAAGCTCGCGCCTTTTCCTCCCGGGCCCACGCTCACGCCCGCGACAAGCTTCCGGTTCGCCCCTCCAAGAGCCTCGTAGACGACGAGGCTGACCTCAGCGACTGGGTCGATGATTTGCGGACCGGCAAGGTCGACCGCTTCTCCCAGCGGTCCAGCAGCGACCACGATGAAGACCGAAAATTCCGGCCGCCGCCGAGGAACAACAATAGGGCTTCCACCAATTTGGGGAAGAGGAGGGGCGAGGGTTTGCGGATGGGAAGGCAGAATGCGAACGCAAGGAGAAAGATTCAACCAAGGAGTGACGACGATGAGGAAGTGGTGGAGAGTGGAAGGAAGTTCAAAGGTGGTGGCGTTGGAGCGTTTCTCAGCGAAGATGAAAGTGAAGATGAAGAGAGTGATGGGAGTGAGGAGGAGGAGATATTGAACAAGAGTAGAACCGCTTTGTTTGGTCAACAAAACGGTCTGAACCGGAGGACGGTTGAACCGACTCCTAGACCATCTTCTACTGGGGGTTCTGATTCTTATCTGAGTGAATCAAGGTGTGTTCATTATTCCATTAATGTTTCTGTTATGCTACTTGAAGTAGTTTTGGAGTATGTTTGAACAAACTCCTCCGTTAAACATTTCTAGGAGAGAGAGAATGATAATAAAAAGTATAGTTATAAGTTATGTTTACGTGAAGCTTGTCTAAACACGCTCTAGGTCTTTGTTTCTTTGCTTATATGAATGTATCGAGTCTGTTGTTTATTATTGCACAGTATACTTGTTTGGCTAGCTGATACGGGGTTACTGTAGTTGGTAGTACGTGTTTGAAAAGTGTGTATAGACTTGAGGTGACAAAATGAACCCAGTTTGCTGGAATTTATTAATGTAGGGCTTGAGTTTAGCAGAATTAAGTGTGACCTTTTTAGCGTGATCTGATGATGCTCTGATCCAGGATTAACTCTCCCCCCTCTTCCAAACCTGCAAAGCCCTTGGAAAACTGGGCTTTCATTGGGTTTAGGCCTCAGTTTGATTGTCCAAATTGAATTTGGATGTTTTACCTTGACCACTGACTGCTCTCAACGCGTATTGACTGAGTTGCCTGTCTTGCCATCTTTCGAATTGTGAGCCTTGAGAATTGGAACAAAGTTAAAAAGAAAGGGATAAGAGGGTGTCTATTTTTCAATACAGTTTTTTTCTAAATTGAATGGATACTGTCTTCTTTGTGTAATTGATGGGATTATGCAACTGTACTTACTGGATAGTTGTTCCATACCTTCCATGAATGAATTTGGAAATTGGTTATGGATTCTCTCATGTTGGGCACATGTTAAATGCCAGTTGTCTTGTATTCATAGAGGGATAGGAATGAAATTGATACAAAGAGAAAGGTGAGCCTTTTGCTTGTATTATGTTTACCTTATGTACACTGGCATATACTTTAATCTGATTTTTGAGTTATGATGCCACAGATTTGACCAATGTTCCGTCTCCCAGCTGTCACTTAAAGGAGTAAAGGATGCTGGATATGAGAAAATGACAGTTGTGCAAGAGGCTACTCTTCCAGTAATTCTCAAAGGTTGGTCTTTTTTGCTTGTTCATGGAGAATGGAACAATAAGAAAACAATTTTAAGATATAATCTTTTTTTTTGTGGTTATGTTTTACCTGTTTGTAAGAGATGTCATGTCATATGATTCTGTCAAACCCTCTGACCCTTTCTTCTGTTACCTTTTGTATCCTTTTCGTGTGGACGTTATATTATAATTTTTGTTGCAAATATCATTCTATGTTAAGAATCTATATTTAGATTATTGGGCTATTCCTAATTGATAATATTAAAGAAGAGAGGAATTTATTCCAGATTTGGTCCACGTTGTTCTGATATTTCTTGAGGTTATTTATTATTGGGGCACTTATTCAAATTAACATTTTTAGGTAAGGATGTCCTTGCCAAGGCCAGGACAGGCACAGAAAAAACAGTAGCATTTTTGGAAAGTCTCTTGACGTGTGTTTGCCAGAATGAATTGGTGATTAATTGCCTCTTTATTATCGGGATGTTTCTTCATATTCCTTTATGGGTGACGATTAATGTAAGAAATATTTGACACAAGGGATACATTTGAAATATGCAAACTACTTCATCGGATCACTCTGCTTAATTTCTTGAGCTTTGGAATCAGAGCTGGATATTTTATCATGATAATTGGGCAATTCCTGCTTCTATTTTCTTTTCAATTGTTTTTTTCTAGGCATGGAGGCTGCTGTAACATTTCTTAAGTAGTCTGCGGTGGGAGTATTAAAGAATTTTGAAATACTGATTAAAATGTCTGATAGAAGAAAACACCAAAAGTTCTGCTTTAACTTGAACTTAATAGCACAAATCGTTGAGCTTGAAGCTAATGTATTGTTTTATTGTACTAGTAGTAATGGATTAATAGTAATTTTTTACTCTTCTAAAATTTTTAAGTGTTTTTATTCAGCTTCCATCAATTGAAGTTGTGGTGAAGTCACCTCCAAGTGATCGTGACCACAGGCGGCCACCAATTTTTGTTCTTGTCATATGCCCGACTCGAGAACTTGCAAGTCAGGCTGCCACAGAGGCCAATAAACTGCTGAAGTATCATCCTACCATTGGTGTTCAAGTTGTGATTGGAGGCACAAGACTTGCTTTAGAACAGAAACGAATGCAAGCAAACCCTTGCCAGGTAAACTCTTCTCATTGCTAACAAAGTTTATTTATGTTGTTATTAGTTACTGACGACTCCATATGACCCATAGTCAAATAAATGAAAATAGTCTGAAATATCCCTACGCTACTAAACAGTCTTGACATAAATACGCTGAACATATTCTTCTTGGCACATTTATGTTCCAGCCGTCACAAATTGTAGGATCTATTGTTCTTTTTTCAACTGAACATATTAGATTATAACTTATTTTTATCATCATCGTATGTTTCTTTACTAATTTCTGTTAAACATCAAGAGACAGAGAAACAAATTTGTGTTGGTGTATAAGTGTTTTAGCAAAAGATTTTTATGAGTATCACCTGAGGGTAGTCATCATGATATTTTAATTTGATTGAAGGCTTTTGATCTATTATTTATTTGCATCCTCAACCTTATGTAGCTAACTACTAACTAGTTTTCCAGACTTTGTTGATGATGTATTTAGTTTTGATAATAAGGTCACATGTTCTGTTCACACACGTTGTTAACTTCCATTTGCATGCTGTACAGATCCTTGTTGCTACTCCTGGAAGGCTTAGAGATCATATTGAAAATACTGCTGGTTTTTCAACTAGGCTGATGGGTGTGAAGGTTTTGGTGCTTGATGAAGCTGATCATTTACTTGACATGGGATTTCGCAAAGACATTGAGAGGGTAATTGCTGCAGTCCCCAAACAACGACAAACTCTTATGTTTTCTGCCACAGTTCCAGAAGAGGTATGTCTTTTTTTACCTTTTTATTTTATGGTTGTGTTTCTTGTTTTGAAACTATATAAGTATTGAGCTTATTCTGGTATTAATATTGTTGCAAAGGTGCGTCAAGTTTGTCATATTGCTTTGAGAAGGGATCATGAATTTATCAATACAGTTCCAGAGGGTACTGAGGAGACACATTCACAGGTACTTGCATAATGAATGTGCATTTGCATGAACCAGCATATAATATCTTTTCATGATATTTATTTATGGAGTTTTTAATCATTTCAGGTCCGCCAGATGCATTTAGTTGCCCCATTGGACAAGCATTTCCCTTTACTATATGTTCTTCTGAAGGACCACATTGCAGATGATGTTGATTATAAGGTATGTTTTCCAATATACACCTGTATTAACTTTTTTTTGGCACTTTTGCTTCTGGTCACATAACATGTTTAACAATTAAGACAATAATTTTTTATTGTTCTATTTCTAGTTAAATTCTGTATGTGATTAGACAACAAAAGATTTTACATTTTCAATCACATTTCACATATTTTACGAAGATATGTAATGTAGCTATTGGTTTATCAGGTTCTTGTTTTCTGCACAACTGCTATGGTCACTAGACTTGTTGCTGAACTTCTTGGTGAGTTGAACTTGAATGTGAGAGAAATCCATTCAAGAAAGCCTCAGAGTTATAGAACCAGAGTCTCTGAGGAATTTCGGAAGTCAAAGGGTCTCATCCTGGTTACTTCAGATGTATCTGCTCGTGGAGTTGATTATCCAGATGTCACTCTTGTTCTACAGGTAATAGATACAGAACATTGGGTCATTACACATTTGTATGGCATCTTGTGCTGCTTGCAATACACATTCCAAATATTATTATTCTGACAATTGTAGCTTATCATCCCCTGCAAACCATAATAACAGGCATCCTAGAACGCTTTATGAATTATATTTTCTATGTTTTAACTTTTTATCATGAAAAACAATGAATATTTGAAAGAATGCTCAATACATTATACGTTTGCTGAAAGATGACACCTGTTGGCATTGTTGAGAAGTTAAAACACAGGCTTAATATGATAAAAGTAATTATTTTGTTTCCTGTTTCTTACATTTGTTGAATGGACAGGTTGGGTTGCCCGCAGATAGAGAACAATATATACATCGCTTGGGTAGAACAGGCCGAAGAGGGAAAGAAGGGCAGGGCATACTGCTGCTGGCTCCTTGGGAAGAGTTCTTTTTATCTACTGTAAAAGATTTGCCTATTGAGAAAGCTCCCGTGGTGCCTTCAGTTGATCCTGATACTAAGAGAAAGGTATCACTATTCAGTGGAGACATTTTTTTTTCAAATCAAAACGTCATTTTAGAATTTTAGTCCCTTTGATGGTAAGCCCTTGCGCTTGCATATCTGTTCCTAACTTGATAAAATCTTCACTATAGTCTCCAATTTTAGGTGGTGTTCGCCGGAGCCCTTTTCTACTATTTTTCCACTTTTGTTCCTTTGATGGTTGGCGCTTGTCATTTTAGTTCCCAACTTATAAAATCTTCACTTTAGTCTTCGATTTTGCAAAGTCTTGTTCACTGCAACATTGACAAAGACTACAATAAATGTCTTGTTGAAAAAGAACTGTTAGAGTTAGTTTGCAAGCCCTTGTTCAAGAGTGTAGCAATGTTAGAGGGCATGGTTTTAATGGTCTGTTTGTGCAAAACTACCTTGACCCTTTTGATTCATGACTCTTGCTTACACCCTTGAACTTGTTTTCACCCGCCAATGTGAGACTCGTTATCCAACATTAGCTTGGGCTTAGGTTCCTTTTCTTAAGTTCTATAAACCATTAGCCCATATATATTAGGGGACTAAAGTTCGGGTTAATTTTATTTCCATCTCGTGTTTTGGCATGTTCATTAATTTTATTTTGCCAACATTTTTGCTGTTTACAGGTAGAAAAAGCTCTATCCCATGTGGATATGAAGAACAAAGAAGCAGCATATCAGGCATGGCTTGGTTACTACAATTCGAACAAGAAAGTGGGGCGTGACAAGTATAGGCTAGTGGAGCTTGCAAACGAGTTTAGTCGAAGCATGGGGCTTGATAACCCTCCAGCTATTGCTAAGCTGGTCCTTGGCAAGATGGGCCTCAGGAATATCCCTGGTTTACGTGCCAAATAGCTTATTCTTTTAATTCAATTTCTGATAACTTGTGAAATATGTATTTTTTTAGTTAAAATGCTCATTCATAGTTAATTGTAAGTTTGGAGGCATCAAATTTTCAATCACATACATCGTCCGTTATGTGTTTATCTTGGCTATTGTACTTAATTACATCATTCAACAAACCAAAATAGAGCACAATATAGCGATTTCAAATAGTTCTATATAAGGTTCATTAAACTAAAGTAGCTAGTATATTTTGTGGCTTTAAATTAAGAAACTGAAGTCAATCTTTTGCTTAAAAAATGAACTTACCAACACGAACCCAACTCCACTCCCATCTAACTGTAATCATGCCTTGGTTCCTATTGTTTTTTCAATGACTCAGATTTGTTACTTTTTCTACTTTGATATGATAACCCTTAATTTCTCAATTAATCTCAAAGACATCCTCATTTTAAATGAATCAAACCCCTTGACATTGCTGAGCATTAGGGAGAAGTGAGATAGCAGTTTGCAAGAGCTATATTAAGACGTCTTTTATAGTTTACACTGTAGTAAGTAAAAAAATTATAATCAAATGTTAGTGTTGAAGTTTACTTGGTTGTTACAAATGTTAGTTTGATTTATATGTATGAATACTTTTCCATACGCACGTATAAATGAGAAATCAAATTCCTAAGTTATATGCTTAAAGCAATTTTTCTATTTGCAGGGTTATCTTGGTTGAACCCAACTTCAGTAATCTAACTTTGAATTGCCTGTTCGAAGGCTGTTTTTAGTACTTTGATATGCTAAAGCTTTGTTTTGTTTGTTTGAATGGAAGTAGGAGACAGCAAAGTGGGAAGGAAAATGGAGAATCCCATTGTCTGAGGCAAAAGTGGAATATGGGAAAAGAATAAGCTGCGATTCACAAGGAATATAAAAAGTGATTGCTGAACCTTCTCTACTTATTTTTACTTAATATTCATAAAGTTATATGATATATAATAAGAATAAAGAAATACACAAAAATTACAAGTGCTACTAATAAAGTGTTTGTATATTATGATTTTATTACAAAAGTATTTTGTACAGTAACAAGACAAAATTGTGTTTTTGTTTTATACAGGGATTACAACCTTAATTTTTATTTTTATTTTTGTTTTATTTTATTTTTTTTTAAAAAAAAAAAAAATAAAAAAAAATTCTAACAATTTTTCTTAAAAACACTTTCCCCAAATTTCTCTCACTTTCCAAGTTCTTTTTCTCGGTTTATTCCCTAACATCTTTTTTTTTTTTGGTAATTTACAACACAATTTGTTTATTATATTCAAGCAAAATTGGTTACTTATAAAAATACATTTTTAACAAACAAAACTATTTCCTATTACAATTAATTATACTTATAATCAATTGTTAAAATAATCTAATTTCTACTATTATTCTGAACACTTTTTTACAAAAAAAAAAAATCTAAATACTTTTCAAATTTCATTATGTAAAAGAAAAACGTTATTCATTCTTTTCATCCAATAACTCTTTAAATAATTTTCACTTGTCAATATTTATTCACTTATCTATATATTATTATGGTTGATTTCAAAACTTTAAGAATCAATACCATGTATGACTTTACAGATACATGTGAGCTTTCTTTTTCCTTTTTCTAAACATTGAAGAACTTTTAATTGATAATTCACAAATATCTAATCATTACTAATGTTGATTAAAAAATAAATATAATTTACAAACCCTTAAAGAAGCGGACAATAACAATTAATTGAGAAAACCACAAGTCATGCCAGATTAAATAATTATTTAAAGTTAATATAAAAATGAGGGCAATTCATTATCATTCAGTTTACATTTATAATCATTTGTTACGACAAAATACTTTTTTCACGACGCATAAAAATCAAGCTCTACAATAACTTTCAAAATTTGTCTCAAATATGTATATGAAAATTACTTATTTTGAATTTAACATTTGGAAATTGACAAAAAGATACCCAAACTTCAACATAATAGTTATTTAACAAACAATTTTTTTGATAAATGTGTCGTAACCTTCTATTTAGTTAAAATGGATTCCCATCACTTCTTAAAAGACCATAATCTTTTATCCCTTTGTTGACGATTTGAGGAAAGACAAACGCATATGATTGATATCACAATTTTATTGCTACTAAGCTATAACAATGTTCAAAAGCTCAACACAGATCTTCTGCATATTCTAAAACAAGTACCCAATTACATTCATTCATTGTATAAAACAGAATCTGACAATTCTATAACATGGTAAAATTTCTAAAATTCTGAACCTAAGCCAGTTTTCTAATTTTTGTTGAGTTACAAAATGTGTCTAAAGTTTCAATAAAATTCTAATCCATCCTTTTTTTTTTCCTTTTGGTAGACTGGGAGGAGAGTCCTGCATCCTCTCTGTCACCATGTTCATCCTCAAAACATGGTCTTGGATGGACAAACTTAACCAAAGTTGGTTAATCACCTATAAGTGTACATGCAAGAGTCTGGCCAAAAACAAGGGAGATCTTTTCATTTTAAGAACAGTAATGCCATGAAATGGACACTGTATTCCCCAGTTACATGCCCTGCCGGGTCCTGCTACGAAAAAGGAGGAAATCCTCCTCTTTCAAGTGTTAACTCCTCTTGGCCACCGATCTGACAGTAGAATCAGGGAGCCCTGTTGACAACCATAAAACTAAGACATAATGAAAAAGTCCGACTAAATAATTTACGAGTTTAAAATCTATGAACCAACTGCGTAAAGGAGTTTTACAATGTCAACCAATTAGAATTTGTCACAAATGGAAATTATGTCAATGTAATTGGTGTTTACACCGTAAACTCTAGTAAAAGATCATGTTATGGATTACTTTAAAGGCAAATATTGTTAAAGTCGACAAAATAAGATGCTTGCTTCATGAATCAAGGGAAAATTAGAAGAGGTAGATTACGAACAACTTACCTAGAGACATGAGGTGAGGAGGGTTGATCTGGTGAAGATCGTTGGGTGTGACCACCACGAAACCTTTGCTCTTCATGTGCTCCACTAGATTGACTTCCCTCATTTGCCTGTGACAGTTCATTGACACCTGAGAACCCCATTGGTCCCAAAGTCCCAAACTCAAGCTGCTCTTCTGGTACGAAGCCAGAATTATGATCAAAAGGATAAAACATTACAACAGATTGCATAGGACCATTTGATGAGACACCACTTGGGTTCATGGCAGGTATAGGATACATTCCATAAGTTACATTGGAAGAATTGCTTTGTGAGGAATTTGAACGAACTGGACCATTCTGGTGAGGAATGAAGGTGTCATGCCTATGTGAACTCCATGGTCTCTCTGCACGGCTCTCACTGGTAGACAACCGCTCCGGCTTTGAGTTGGACTTCTCCATTTGGTTGCGATTATGGCCCCGTCCAGTTCCTCGCAATTTTGAGTTAGTATTCCAGTTCCCTTCTCTATCACCATGATGGTCACTTCTATCATAATTGTAACTTCCCCTTCTGGTAGTTGTTGAATGTCGATCCCGAGGAGACACCTTCTGAAAAAAATTGAAAGGGAAGGTATAATAGTATAAAGAAAATAGATTTTGAAATGGGAACACTAATTCATTTGGTATATATATGCATGCATGTAAGGAAGAAGCACAACTGCAGGAAAAGTATCACAAGCTCCTTGGAATTTATCATACCGGATTTGGCAGGTAGGTTCCAGTCCCACTTCTATACCGTGGCATATCATCTACATAACGTTGGTAAATATTGGTAGGTCTATTAGAAACTGACTGGAGAGGAGCAACAGGAACCAGACGTGGCCCATAGCTCATAAGCTGACTAAAAATATTCATGTTACCAGAAATAGGTCTTCCAGGACCATCCCAAGGATATCGACCCTGCAAATAAACAGGAGGCACCATAACAGGTGAAGGATAGATCACTGAAGGCGGTTGACGCGTGTTTTGACAAAATCGGCCATATTGCAAATTTTGCCAGTGACTAACAAAGTCACTATTAAGAATGTCAGGATTGTGCTCTGATGACTCCATAGCCACCCTTGCCATAGAATTGGAAGGGCTTGACACCTCAGGGTGTTCATATCCCTCGGATGAATCAAAATTCTGACTTGAATCACTGTTATCTGCCCCTTCTTCCACATTGAAGTTGCTTGTTGAAGTGTCAGAAGACTCAGTTGGAAAATTATATAAAGGAAGCATGGTGACAAAGGGAACAGGTGGCCCTGTAGGATAGAATGTAAACGGAAGAACCCCAGAATTATCTACTGCTCTTGGGCGAGAACCAGGACCTATAACCACGGGAGCTATAGGTAATGGAGAATCTGGTCCACTAGTCTGAGCAGTTTCAAAACTAGATATTTGATTCCTTGGAACATGTATGGAAGTACCAGATGTGGGCCAAGTGCCTCTTTCTGGCATGTCAGATGGAACCGTTGACAAATGAGTCCATTCTCTGTTTTCATCATCCACTCGGTTAGATGAATTTTCTGAAACATTCTTACCCTTCCCATAAACAGGATTTTGAGATGGCACTGAGGGAGTGCTTTTTCTCCCCCTTCTCTCCCTCGTTGATTTTGAGGATTTGACTGATGACCCATCCCAAGAGCTTTCAGAAGGGGTCCTACTCCTGAAGGAGCTCGAAGGAGGTGCACTGGATAACTCTGAAATTGCTGTTCTATCATCAAAATAAACCTCATTTCTTCGGCCATCTGGAAATTGAAAATTGTCAATATGCTCTTCTCTGGTTGACCCTCGGTTTTCTTTAGTAAACTTCTGCTGAACTCCAGCAGAACTGTTACTGTTGGAGCTGCCTACCTGAGATGACGGAGCAGAGTTGTAACTACCTGAAGTAGACTGTTGCCTATCTTCTTGGGCCATTTCAAGATTTCCATTATCAACTTCAATCTCACTTGCAGAACTCCTTTCCTGCTCATGCCAATAATCATCAGCTTCTGTTACATTCGCCTCAACTGAATTGAAATTTTCATGGTTAGTTTCAAGTAAATCTTGAGGATTTGAGGCCATTCCTATGCCAGGGAAATAAGGAGTCAAAGGCGGGATGAAACCTTGAGGAAATTGCATATTTGCACCCCAAGGAGCCTCGATAAAGGGAATGTTACCCGTGTTTCTCTGAGTATATCCCATTGACGCAAGAATGGAAGGTGGAAAGTGAAATGGTAGGTGACCAGGTGCAATATTCATAGGCACATGATTCTGACCACTGAAACCCTGAGCTGTGGGAGATGCCATCATATTCAAAAGGTCCTGCTCCTCTTGATGCTGCATTCCAACTGCACCAGAAACAGGTGCAAACTCTTCTCCCATTACACCAGAGCTTGACTCATCATGATTACTGTTTGAATCAGCAGCATTTTCAAGAAATCGATGAGATGAGATGTGCCTTACAGATGACTCATCCATTCTTACAGCTACATCAGGTTCAATGTTCTTCCTTCGACTATTTTCCAACTTCACAAAGGAACTCTGGCCTATACTACTTTCTGTTCCTTTTGTATGTCTTCCTTGGATTGGAACATCACCATATGAGTCTGTCAGCTCAGGGCTAGATCGTGTCCTGGCAAACAGAAACCTTCCCTGAACATCACCAACTAGGTTATCAGTTTTAACATTTCTCTGACCTTTATCAAAATGAGTACCTTGAATAGAATTAGTTTCCCGCCTAACATGATCAAAGGTCCTTGAATTATTTTGGTTTGCATAACTCTTTTGATTCTGAGTATGTGACACTGCAGAAACACTTCCAGATGTCTTTCCAGATAATAAATTACTATACTGAGAAAGAACACTTTGTGAAAAACGTTCGCCTTCAGTTGATTTTGATTCATGATTAGAAGCATTATCAATTTTATGGTTATTGTTCGGGAGATTGTCAGACCTCTGTAATTGGTCATGACTGGATAAACTCAAACGCTGTAAGTCAATGGTTGGAACATCAGGCCTTTCCCCACTTCCATGTCTGTCCCAAGTGTTCAAAAAGAACTGATTCACCTCAGAAAATAATTCCTCCTCGGGGCAATCAAGTAATCTAGCTAGCCTTTTTGCCCCAAATGCAAAGGCACTGCGTATCCTAAAGAAATTACCTGGTTCATTTGTACCATACATGCAAAATTAGCAAGAGGACAAACAGATAAGAAATAGCTAAGGGGAACTAAAAGCAAACAAATACAATGTAATTTAACTAAGCAGGACCAGGATGCATAAAGTTGCCATACTCTCATTGTTGGTTACAATTAGCTAAACACAAAAAAGGTTTATTTTTTTCAATTATAAAATCTAAATGTGTGCCAAAAGTATGGAAGCTACAAGCAAATACAGAACCAATTGTCTATAGTATACCCAGATTTCTATTTACCATATATGGGAAAGAAGCCATAAGAATGACTCCCAATGAATATAGAATTAAATCACCATGGACTTGTAGGAAAAAATGCTAGTCATGGCGAAAATGACGAGACATGTATACATATCTGCTTGAGTTTTATGCATTTTGCATTACACATCGGTTGCATAAAATATACATAGAAAAACAAGAAAAAGGTAAGGAGTCTCCAAGATATCAGGAAAGACAACAAAAAGGTAAGGATACTACACTACATCAGAAGAGACACTCATGTTTATCCATAGACAGTAACCACACTCCACCCTTCCATATGTCTTAACTCTTCTAAATTCACAAAGTTCATATTGAATATATTGTTGCATTAATAACTAGCAGCAGGGACATATCCATAAGAAATGAACTTCGCCAAAATTATAATCAGATAAATAGATACTAAGGTATGAAATGAGCCAAAACCAAATTTCTAGAAACCAACACACCTTTGCTGACACTACGACCAAGGTTATTGTTGACACGCAAAGGATCAATAACATTGAAATGCTTGGAAACAAATGGTTGCCCCTGATTTTCTTGGCCACCGGGGAAAACAGCATAAACTGAGCTACAGGCATCGAGAAATAACTTGCTGAGTAGTAAATCTCCACCATCTTTTCGAGGAGGTTCAGCTATGGATGATGTTAGTCAAGGAATAAGAAAAACAATCATTACGTAAAACAAACCTAAATCAATATATGGACAAAAGGGTCTTTAAAGGGAATGCAACTACCTGTCACATCTGGGAGAGAATTAACAGGTACCGGGCCCCATAGACTTACACAAAAATTATCCCAGTCAAACTTACTAAAGAATTCCAAAAATCGATACAACACCTACGTGAGATAAAACAATACCATGTGAAATCAATCATCAAAAACACAAAAATAAAATAAAGCCATGTAATTTCTGTTACCTCAAGTGGTCCAGCAAAAGAATTGTTGTAAACATGAAAAATGTAAAGAACCAAGGTCTCTAAAGCATAAGTTGAGATAAGTCCATGGTGGGCACCGAGTATTCGGCTCTCGTAGTAACACCAAGCCTTTATAAGGATAATACTACGCTTGAATAAATGATTTTGATTAATCAGATTATCAACCTACAACAACAAACTAATTTTTGTAAATCCAAGAATACTGCTGATGTCAAATTTTCAAATGATACATTGTTAAGTTTATGAGATGAACCAAATTACCTCCTCAAGAAAACATAGGGTACACAAACCTCCAAGCTGGTTAAATGAAATGTCTACTACAATATTCTCAACGAGACACTTTATAATTTTTACCTGCAAATAAAGGGCACAACAAAAGAAAACTCTCTTCAAAATCTAAAGCAAGCCAGACAATTAGCAAAATTTATAACAGTTAGACACAAATAACTAGTAAATTGTCATTTTCAATTAGAAGTATTTAAAAATGCTTAATAATAATTCACAATAAATGTAAAGTATGAAAAATTAATTCAGGAATTAATAGTATAAAATAAGTGTTCCTCAAGCTAGCAATATATCCCTTGTTATACATACTCAATCATCTATAATCATGAGCTTTTGATAAAATCTCACATAAAGAAAGTGTACGACTTGGTAATGGTTAACATGAACTCCCCTTACTCTGATAATATAAGATGATTCATTTTTATAATGTCTTAAACCTTGTATCTATGGTTATTATAGTACCATAACAAGGCCTAGTGTCCAAGGACCTTAAGTTTCTGCAACATCCCACAACCACTTCAAATATATGCACATTACCACAAAGGTTTATCCTTGGTGAATGTGAATGCAAAGTAGCTAAAGACTTTAAATTGAAAATAAATCCAACAAAAATCCAAACTTATACACGTCACAAATTTCTCAACCAAATTGAGAAAGCAACTATGGTAACAAACTATATGATTAATCAAAGCAAAGAGTGACATGAAAGTTCAACAATTCTGAAGATTTTCTGTATTAGAGAACCTACTTCGGCCTGGATGTACTGAACCTCCTTGACATGAAACTCTGCATTCTCATTCTTCTCCTCATTCTCCAGCATGTCGCGAACCTGATGTGCCCATGTCTCCTTCAGATTTTGATTCTTACTGAATGCTGTTAAGTCAATATCTCCATCAGGCAAATAAGTTTTGAGGGGAACCGACCCAAAGGTGAACACCTGTAATTGTAAACAATCATTTACATAATAATATGTAAGTACAACTTCAAGTTAGCATCAATAATACTACTGGTCCTCTTCTGGATGAAACAAAGAAAACCATAATACAAAATACCCATCAATCACCAAATTAAACATTAAAAAGGCACGATGTAGAGTTATTCCCTAAGTGGGAGAATACACTCGCACTACCAGAACAAAGATTTCTACCCACAAATTGGAATTTCTGACCAAGCATCGCTCCATTTAAGACTTGCAACTGCAGGATACTGCTATTAAGTACTTTCATCATGCAATAATGATATCAAGAATGATCACAGCATCCTTCCCACAATTTAAATATCATAGGATAGTCATAGATAAAACAATGGATGACTCACTACTAATCATAAGATTTATGCAACAGATGAACTACAATAAACCAACCTGGCAAGGGAAGCACTTCATGATCAGCCGTTGGACATAGTCAGCAACCGCATTCCGGCGCTCCTCAGAGGGTGGATTAGGCTGAATGCAGGCAATCAGCTCTGCAGTCCTTTGTTCGGCTTTCAACCACCGCTCCGAGTCAAGCACCTGTATCACGGAGGCAGCTTCATTGGGCAACAAACCATTTGGCAATAGCCCACTTGGTGGCTGTGCCCACCCTTCATGTTCTCCCATGCAAGCCTATGTTTCAACACTTCCAACAAAACCTACCAACCCAAACGAACACGCCACCACCACCACAGTTCCTTCTAGATAACCCCAAAACAACCAATATTCAAAGTCACAAAAACCAAGAAAAGCTTGCGGCGATAGTTATTATCTCAGGGTTCTTCCACAGAGTTCGGAAGGGGAAATTTTTTCCCCTTGCACAACAAACAGACCAAGACAGAACTTAATTCCCTCAGTAGTCAAAAAACATTAAACAGTAAAAATAAGGAAAAAAAACTTTGAAATTCAACAAACCAATTATGGGTATTACCCAAAAATAACACAGACAGATGGAACGGCACAATTTGAGAGAACCCCACCAAGCACCAAACGAATCCCCAAAAGTTACCAAAACCAGATTTTGCAAAACACCCAAATGAATCAAACAATAAGAGAGTTGCTTGGTTGCAACAAGAGAAGAGTTTAGATGGTTAAAACCCTAACGGAAAAAGTTGAATCCCAACACAGTGGAAGTGTAGGGGCGAAACAATAGCGTAGTGTTGAAACCCAGAAATGCGCAGAGGAGATGGTGGGCATCAAAATATTAGGTGGGAGAAAAGTTGGGGTGCGATCAAAAACGGGCCTTGGTGCAGATAGAGAAAAGGGTGCAAAACGAGGGGTGGTTGTTGTCTGTGAAATATGAACGATGAATATTAGGGATTGAAGAAGAAGTAGGCTACAAAAGGGGTTCGGCGTTGAGAGAGAAGAGTGTTGGTGTTGTGAATGTTGTGCATTTAAGGGGGTTTTGTTTTTTGTTTTTTGGTTTTGGTTTTTGTATTACAAAAATTTATTGGCAAAGTGAGCCTGTGAGGGTGATAATAGAATCTTGTGAGATAGACAATGAAAAAAGCAGAGCACAGAGGAAAGGGAAAAAGGAAAGAAATAAGTTAAAATATTCAGTTATTCATTCCTCTATTTTCAATAATTTGCACCATATTCCTTTTTATCTAAATGGGAATTGTTTTTGTCACCTGAAAACAATGTTCTTTGTTAGCAAAAGCCTAGCCCGTCTTTTCATCAAATGTGGGTTTCTCTTTTCTGTTTTGGGCTGCATTCTGTGGCTCATCAGATACTTCAAACTTATCACCATCCACCACTCTAACTTCATCACCCTTTATTTTCATCATTCTTAATTCATACACTCTATACAAACTCATTCAGGAAAGGAATTAGGTTTCACATGTCAAACTTGTAAATTATAAACATCAATTTCTGAAATTCCCATCCAAAACAAGGAATAAAACATTACTATTGTTAGATACATTTTGACAATTTGGTTTTTGACTAATTTAATTTTAAACTTCCAAAAAAGTTTAATCTACATAAGCTAATGCCTTTTATTTCATCATTACTATTCATTATTCATTTGATTATAGAATTATTTGAAAAGGAAAATAATTAGTAATTTATGCAAAAAAGAAACGATTGGAGCAAATTGGGAAAGTAAGGAAAGAAAGTTTCTTTTAGAGTATAAGTTTAGAGCACAAGAGACATTGGGTAGAAAATATATAGTTTTCTTGAATTTTTCACCTTTAAAACTAAATTGTCTAGTTTTTTTTTAGCTCCAAACAACTACATCCAAAACATATAGCATTAAAGATATTTTTATTTTAAGTAGTATTGTCAAAAATACATCATCCGGTCTAATATAATAATAATTTTTTTTCTAATTCAAATCTAAATAAATTTTAGTATAAAATGATGTTAAAATCTAGAGACAATTCAAACTAAAAAAAATACAATACAATTCAAATACAATCCAAAATCAAGCACCGAAAAACAAAATAAATAAGTATCTAACATTAATAATTTTTGTAACACTTATCATCTATAAGATTGGAGTTTTGAATGGATAAATCCATGATATTTTGAAGTATCTTCTTCTTTATTTCATCTACAATACAATAAAAAAGAGTGTTAACTAAGGATATTGAAAACACAATGTAATAATAAAATGGGTTGGTGAGCCGAGTTGACTTACCAAAGATTCAATCCAAATAAGTCGGATTTTTAATAAATCAAATTCAAAATTGGTTCCTATAAAAAAAATTAACTTTTTTAACTTAACTCGAGCCAAATTCATGATAGGTCAAAATGACTTATGAATTCCAAATTTTTTTACCACATTATTTGAACTTATCCAAAATGCTATATCTTAGGGTCTGATTTTAGAAAAAAAAAAGATTTTGTATTTATTTTGGATAAAATTCAAGTTGAGTTGTTAAAAGAATAATTTATTAAAAAAAAACTAGGTGCAAGAAAAATTTATATTAAAAAATCATTTATAATGTGAGATTTATATTTATTCAAATATTATAAAATCATCTTATTTTAAGTTGACTTAGAATGTTTAACTGTTATTTTTTTTTGTTGTGAAGAATTTCTTTGTGGTGATGATATGGAGATAAAATCATTTGGACACCAACATCTACCTATATTGAAGACATAGACAGTGTTACATACATTGAAAGATTGTCGAATGGTAATAATGTTTTTCCAGTTTAGGAAAACCATTTTTCAAGTGCCATTTATCTTTACTCTTTTTTTCATACTCTTGTTCCCTCTTTTTTATTAGTTGAAAATATTTGTTTTGATATTTGTCAGTATGCTATGAAAAGTGACTGATTAGGATTTAACGTGTTCCCATAATTTATTTAGCTTATAGACTTGTGTTGTTTTATTATTGCCGCATAATGGAATCTGATTGGTGTTCAAAGTGATTTTGAGATATTCTATCTATTACGGATAACTTCAAATTACCACTAGACTTTGATAGATTACCTTTTTATAAGTATTTAAAAGGAAATTATCTTTCTTTCTTTTTTCATATAAGTAAGTTGAGAGTGCTTATCATATTTTTGTAATTTTTTTTCTATAATTATGCGATAATTATTTTTCAACTTTTGTAAATTTTATTATATTTTGAAAGTCAAATCATATACTAAAATTGGTTATTGTTTGTTTTTTTCATGTGTATTTAGAGAAATCGAAACTAAGACTTTAGAAAAGACAAATCACTGCTAAAAAGTCTTATTCGTGACTTGAAGAAGATAATTCAAAATTTTGAATTTGTTTGGAAAGTTGATCATTTCAATGAGAGAAAACCTTAAAATACTTTAATTTTGTCATGTCATTAAACGTCAAATTTACTTGAATAATTAAGCAATTTTGAATATGTTTCACCTTTGCTTGCTCATTTTTTTCCCTCCAAAATTCTTTAAATAGTTAATCTTTCAATCATTGGAATAGGATGTTATAAATTTTGACTTTATGTAGTTTTAGTTTGTTATTTTTTTTGTAGGATCAATATTATAAATCTTTAAATTTCACTCATTTAATTGTTTGTTATAGTCACAATTTGTTTTATCCGTAAAAAGGTATTCTGATGCAATGTTAATAAAGATTCAACGTTTTGGCAATAAATACGTATTAAATGTAACCTATTTCGCTATCTTAAACCTGTATTTATAAATTTCGAATTGAGCTTCGGACTAGTATTGACCTAATTACGACTCAACTTGTAATGATAGTATTTTGACTTAAGTTAATCATCACAATCCTAATTGTTGTAGTGCATGTTGTCCAACCAACCAGTCCATTGGATATTCTTAACTAATTGAGTCATATGGTCCTAGACTGACCAAACAACCATATAATACACTTTTTATTCCACCTATATACTTCATATTTGTATGATTTATCATTTATGATCCTTCAAGTTTCATTGCATAGGAAGAAGTTTCGAAAATTATAGACCTAATGTTGAATAATTAAAGGATTTCATCTTAGATGTAGTATTTGTTGTCTTAGTCATTATTGTATTTATTGTATCACTTGTCTTTCATACAATTCTTGCACTAAAAAAATATGGGGATTAGTGTTTTATATTAACGTTTTCATTGCTAAAAAGCTAAGTTTTGAGATAATTTAATGTACGAATGAAAAATATATGATAGAAATTTTTTATTTTGAATTTTTAATAACTATTAGGTTGATTTTATAAAATTTAATTTCAATAAATTTTTATTTTATTAGCATCCACTTTATATATTTATACTTATAATTATGATAAATTATTTATCTTATTTGTAATAATGTTAAGATTGTATTATTTTATTTATTTTCATTTTCAATTCTCTGTTATGAATGTTTATTAATACTCAACTTGTCTAGTGACTTGATTCATGAAATTTAGTGCCATTACATGTTTGTTTTACTTCAAGCACGAATTTCAAAGTCACATCCAACTTAATTATACTCTCACGAAGCTTTAGCTTTNCCAAGACAGAACTTAATTCCCTCAGTAGTCAAAAAACATTAAACAGTAAAAATAAGGAAAAAAAACTTTGAAATTCAACAAACCAATTATGGGTATTACCCAAAAATAACACAGACAGATGGAACGGCACAATTTGAGAGAACCCCACCAAGCACCAAACGAATCCCCAAAAGTTACCAAAACCAGATTTTGCAAAACACCCAAATGAATCAAACAATAAGAGAGTTGCTTGGTTGCAACAAGAGAAGAGTTTAGATGGTTAAAACCCTAACGGAAAAAGTTGAATCCCAACACAGTGGAAGTGTAGGGGCGAAACAATAGCGTAGTGTTGAAACCCAGAAATGCGCAGAGGAGATGGTGGGCATCAAAATATTAGGTGGGAGAAAAGTTGGGGTGCGATCAAAAACGGGCCTTGGTGCAGATAGAGAAAAGGGTGCAAAACGAGGGGTGGTTGTTGTCTGTGAAATATGAACGATGAATATTAGGGATTGAAGAAGAAGTAGGCTACAAAAGGGGTTCGGCGTTGAGAGAGAAGAGTGTTGGTGTTGTGAATGTTGTGCATTTAAGGGGGTTTTGTTTTTTGTTTTTTGGTTTTGGTTTTTGTATTACAAAAATTTATTGGCAAAGTGAGCCTGTGAGGGTGATAATAGAATCTTGTGAGATAGACAATGAAAAAAGCAGAGCACAGAGGAAAGGGAAAAAGGAAAGAAATAAGTTAAAATATTCAGTTATTCATTCCTCTATTTTCAATAATTTGCACCATATTCCTTTTTATCTAAATGGGAATTGTTTTTGTCACCTGAAAACAATGTTCTTTGTTAGCAAAAGCCTAGCCCGTCTTTTCATCAAATGTGGGTTTCTCTTTTCTGTTTTGGGCTGCATTCTGTGGCTCATCAGATACTTCAAACTTATCACCATCCACCACTCTAACTTCATCACCCTTTATTTTCATCATTCTTAATTCATACACTCTATACAAACTCATTCAGGAAAGGAATTAGGTTTCACATGTCAAACTTGTAAATTATAAACATCAATTTCTGAAATTCCCATCCAAAACAAGGAATAAAACATTACTATTGTTAGATACATTTTGACAATTTGGTTTTTGACTAATTTAATTTTAAACTTCCAAAAAAGTTTAATCTACATAAGCTAATGCCTTTTATTTCATCATTACTATTCATTATTCATTTGATTATAGAATTATTTGAAAAGGAAAATAATTAGTAATTTATGCAAAAAAGAAACGATTGGAGCAAATTGGGAAAGTAAGGAAAGAAAGTTTCTTTTAGAGTATAAGTTTAGAGCACAAGAGACATTGGGTAGAAAATATATAGTTTTCTTGAATTTTTCACCTTTAAAACTAAATTGTCTAGTTTTTTTTTAGCTCCAAACAACTACATCCAAAACATATAGCATTAAAGATATTTTTATTTTAAGTAGTATTGTCAAAAATACATCATCCGGTCTAATATAATAATAATTTTTTTTCTAATTCAAATCTAAATAAATTTTAGTATAAAATGATGTTAAAATCTAGAGACAATTCAAACTAAAAAAAATACAATACAATTCAAA